ATACTTTCAGGGTTGAGTTTGTTTGAATACAGGGATGTGTCTCGGAAATCCTGATAGCACTGCCAAATGACTCGACTTCCACATAAGCAACATGTGCCAGCCTGAGTATTCAAACTCAAAATCAAACAAAGAAACCTTCCCAATAAAGTAAACACACATGTCCTTTTGATGCAGCACATTTCAATCCTGTGAAAGTTTGTATGTGTTTTTAGGCCCGTCTTGAAATCAGCCACCTCCAGTTCCCATAGAGCATTTGCATACGGTATCAAACAGGAGCAAAGTTCAAAGCTCATAAGATTTTATTTCCTTGTGACTGTCCAAAAGTTCTGTCTGCATCATCAGCAGTTCAGTAGAGCACAAGGTTAACCGATTTCACCCGGGATGTCCCTGATGGAAAATCCTGTGGAATTAGTGGGAAAGACTGGCCCCTTTTTGTAAACAACCTCATTTTTATTTTTCAAGAGGAAACACCGAAAAAATGTATCATACATTGTTTTATTTTTGGGGGATTCTGAAATTCTGCTAAATGTATTTATGCTCATTCAGTCCTCATACATACCAATTCTGTTTCAGTTGAACAGACTGATGTGATTTGTAACAGGTGAAGTTTGCTCTGAAGATATAATGCAGCAGTGTTGTTTCGGTACTGTAAGTTTGCTTTAACTGTACTGAAGTCAGATGTGTGGTAACCAGTTAAGCTTACATAACTAGCCATAAAAGTGATTGTCAAGCCATAGAGAAATGATAAGATTGAGCTCTACAGCCTGATAATGCCATCTGGAGAGGCAGCAGTGTGTGTCATCTCAGTGAAAGCAAGAGTGGCCAGTAAGAGTGGCAGAGTGGCTTTCGCTCCACCTTCCATCAGCATTGGTACCAAGGACAAAGGTCGTATCAGAAGACTGACGCACAAGCAAAGAGATACACATGTGGAACAACACAGGAAGAAAAAGAAGAGCAAATCTGAAGGAGTTTTGAGGTGAATGCAAGTACAGTCATCGTCCATTATGTTTCTTTTTTTAACCATGACTCAAAACTACAGGAAATTTTAAGAGGACTAAATCATTCTCAAGGTATTTTTGTACTAGATCTACTGGAGCAACTCCATCCGGACCTTTAGTCTCTTACATAGTGAAACCCGTGCCAGCATGGAAATGCTAAATTTCCATCAGAGAACATGGAATGTGCCCAACATGTCAACATTCCCAGAGGTTCCAGGTGGAATGCTGATCCACTACAGTCCTCTGAATGAGCTTCCATGGATTCATGCCCACAGGCCTCATACTACAGGGCTGGTTGCCGCCCGCATACAGCGCTTTGAAGTTGGAGACGCGCCACCTCTGAGCCCCATGCCTGTTACTACACCAACCCCTCCTAACAAGCATACGTATACCTCGGGAGATACTAAACAAGGGATCAAGGTATTTCTGCATTATGCACGTTTAATATCTGTCTCAAATCCTCTAAGTTCAGGAGAAGATTGCGGTTTATTTTTATTTTCTATAGAAATAGCTAGGATAATTAAGGGTTCATTAAATTATATACATATTCCTTTTACAGTGACAATGGTCAGTCGTCTTTTTTATACAATGGAATTTACTATTCCAAATAGCTAAATTAATATATATTACATAAGATTAATAACATGTTTTATTCTCTTTATGTCATAAGGTCAGTATCTTTTGTGGGAAATAGAAACTTAAACTATCTCTCTTGTTATCTTTATGCAGTATCATATGATTAGAGGTGCATTACTTACTGGGGAAATCTGGGTAAATGTGTAACTATGTACAGAAGAACCTGGAAAGTTTAATGCTTTTGCTGGCCTTACTGTTTTTTTTATTTTTTTATTTCTGTATGTGTAAAATGTGCCTCATCTTCATCACCTCTTAACTTATTTATTCAAGGTGTCACATTGTGGATGTTTTGCTAGCAATATCGCATGAGCAAAAGTGCTTATACACGAAATAACATGCATTTTAAACACAACATGGCCAGCTATTTTGCATATTTTTTTCAATATTATAAAAAACAGTCATAATAAAGCCATTAGCATTTTGTATGCTGTTAAGATTGATCAGGATGACAGAGAGCTCAGCAGAGTTTGTACCCATTTTGCTTTCCTTACCTGATCTCATTGTTGGTTTTGGACAGTTCAGAGAGACTCTCAGCAAAATACAAATTAGGCAGTTATGCAAATCGTGCAAGCACCTAATTAGTCTCAGTCATTTAAGTTACCTTTGGATTTGTCACAAAGTGAAGAATTGTGTGCTGTGCCTCAGAAAGTACATGTGTGTATGTGTGTTTTAAAGTACATTATGACAGTTCACCCAAAAATTTAAATTCTGTAATAATTTACTCACCCATCATGTCATTCCAAATATGCATGATTTTTTTCTTCTGTGGAACACAATTAAAAGGACCTTTAACATCAATGGAACCTTTCCATTTCACAAAGACTGATGTGACATCATCAAAATAGTCCATGTGACATCAGTGGTTCAACCTTAATTTTATGAAGCTATGAGAATATATTTTTTGTGTGCAACAGAAACAAAAATAACGACCTCCATGTCATAATTCTTTGCGCGTTTACAAAAGTACCACGATGCATGCTTGTGCATTCCTCTGCTATAACTTTTGTGAATGGTGGTGGTACTCTTGTGAATAGCAGTGGAGACTAACACGGAAGAGAAGAAATTGTTGAATATAGTCGTCATTTTTGTATCCTTTGCGTACAAAAAGTATTCTCATAGCTTCATAAAATTAAGGTTGAACCACTGATGTCACATGGACTATTTTAATGATGTCCTTACTACCTTTCTGGGCCT